ACTTTTGCCTGCTAAATCCCTTTGAAGATTCGGTTTCCTCGGAGATGGGGAGGGGGGAGACATTCCTGTGACCTGATGAAGAAAGAAATCAGGAAAGTGACTTGGAAGATAGCCAATGAGAAGCAGAGAATTGGGGATTGGAAAGAGAGGGATTGGGGGGCAAAGGTCAGTACTGACCACGATGAGTCAGGATCAGATTGCTGTGCTCGAATAAAGAGAAAATTTCCTTAAAGATCGGCAGTTTGGAAGTTCATTTATTTTGAGATAGCATCGAAACCTGACACTGGAGCTGTCTGAAAGAGAAAAACCCATTTAGGCAAGATATACGTCTTGACTACTGTAATTCTACCTAATAATGATAACAGTAATCCTTTCCATCCTTCCAGCATTTCTTTAGTTTGACCACGTAGTTTCCGGTAATTGTCCTCTTTAATGGTTGAGCATTTGGATGAAAGCCAAATGCCTAAATATTTCAGTTTTTTAACTATCTGAATCCCTAGTTCTTCCTCTAACTGCACTTTTTGATTCTTCGTCATATTCTTAATTAGGATCTTGGTTTTATCTTTTTTTAATTTGAATCCTGCTACTTTCCTGTAAGCCTCCAACTCCTGGAGCAAGATTGGTCCCGATTCCAAAGGTTCTTCCAAACAAATATCAAATTGTCCGCAAAGGCTTGGAGCTTAAACTCTTCCCCTCTAATTCCTTGGTTCCTTCTAACCTCATTCAATAATGACTCAAGGGTTAAAATAAATAAAAGTGGAAATAATGGGCATCCCTGTCTAGTACCTTTACTTATATAAATCTTTTCAGACTCCTCCCCATTAATAAGTATTTTCGCTGTCTGTTTCGCGTATACTGTCTGGATCGCCCTGATAAATCTTTCCCTGAATTCCATTTCACTCAACTGTGCAAAGAGAAAGTTCCAACTCAGTCTATCAATTTTTTTAAATTTTTTAATTTGATTTATATGCCACCCTTCTCCGGAGACTCAGGGCGGCTTACAATGCATTAAGCAATAGCCTTCATACTTTTGTATATTTTATACAAAGTCAGCTTATTGCCCCCACAATCTGGGTCCTCATTTTACCTACCTTAGAAAGGATGGAAGGCTGAGTCAACCTTGAGCCTGGTGAGATTTGAACTTGCAGTAATTGCAGGCAGCTGGTGTTAATAACAGTGCTTTAGTCTGCTGTGCTACCAGGGCTCCTATCTCTATCAAAAGCTTTTTGTGCATCCACGGAGACCAGGGCCACCTGTTTGTCAGAATTACATTCATAATATTCTAATATGTCCAATATAGTTCTCACATTATCTTTCAGTTGTCTGTGAGGTAGGAAGCCATTCTGGTCACCGTGGATGTACTCATTCAAAAAAAAATTTAGTCTCTTTGCTAAAATCGCGGAGAATAATTTGTAATCAGCATTAAGCAGGGAGATCGGCCTGTAATTTTTAATCAGAAGTGGATTAGTGCCTTCTTTTGAAATTAATGTAATATACGCTTCGGACCAGGAGGGTGGCATTTGATCAAAAACCAGAACCTCATTGAAAACTTCAGTCAAAAATTCCCCCAAAGTCTCAAGGAGGGTCTTATAAATTTCTACTGGAAGATCATCCGTACCTGGGGTCTCCCCCCCCTTTTTGTTCCCTTAATACTAATTCTACTTCCTTCAAGGTAATCTCTGCATTCAGTATTTCTTTCATTGGGAGTGGAACCTTCTGGGAGTCAGCTCTAGCTAAATACTCTCTAATCTCCTGGTCCTGTTCATCTCCAGCTGTTTATAAGGCAGCAAAATATTTGTCACTGCGTTATTTTATTTACCAGCTGAGCTCAATATTTCTGGACTGTCAGACTCTCCGTAGCTTTGCCAACTTCTTATCAGTAAGCTACGTGTTTCCGTATCCACCCACATTCCTTCTCACACTCTTTCCTTTGTTCTCTTGCCAGAAAGGTCCGGCTAAGAGATAGCCGGCCCGAATTACTTTCAAAAATGTAACAATTAACTTTTCTTAGTTAGTGAAGTGTTTTATTTTCTTTATAACAAATAAATGAGTTTTATTAGAAACCTTTCTCGCGTTTCTTTTCAGAATATTGCAACTTGGAATAAGCCTCGATTCATCTCCTCCTCTAAACCAGGGTAATTAGTCCCAGAGCCAAACATGGGATTAATAAATGCCCTGACAATATTCTTGTATTATTTTTCCTTTCCCTTCCTTATCCGAGACACATCTTCCCGTTTCGTCCCTCCAACAAACTATCCTATTTGTCTCCTGTTGCTTCTTCAATCTATAGGTAAGCCATTTTCCCACTTTATTTGCATGTTCAAAGTGCCTTTGTTTTGCCCATCTAATTTTAGTAGCCAATTCTTCCTAGTCTAATAAATTTAACTGGTGCCGGGTTATTTTCTTCTCCTCAACTAGTTTTAAATCCCCTGGGTCCGCCTGCAACTTCGCTTCTACTTTCTCCAATTCACACACCAATTTACTCCGTTTCAGTCTCTGAGTCTTCCCTTTTCCAATTATATGGGATGATACTACTCCCCTGATCACCGCCTTCACCCAGATAATCTGGGGACTAGTATCTTCCTTCCTATTGACCCTAAAGAAAAAATCCATCTCCTCCTTTAACTTTTGAAGTAGATCTTTATCTTTTAATACTCCTACATCCATCTTCCATCTCTTTATTCTGCGGGCTCCTCTCCATAATACTTTCAACGGGCTATGGTCTGCCCAGTCATTAACCTCAATTGCCACATCAAACACCTGGTCACATAACTCTACAGTCATCCAGGCCATATCTAATCTGGACCAGGAATGATGTCTGGGGGAGAAATAAGTACCCTGTTTCTTTCCCGGGTTTCTGTCCCTCCATATATCTCTCAGCCCTGTTACCTCTCTAATCTGTTTACAAATTTTTGGCAAAAGCTTCCTCCTCTTTTTCCCAGCTTTACCTCTCTCTGGTATATAATCCAAATTTGGATCTACTACCGCATTAAAGTCCTCGAGGAGACAAATAAAGAGCAGTTGGGTATGTCTAATTTGATGAAAAGAAGAACTAGGGGAGACATGATAGCAATGTTCCAATATCTTCTACAAAAAAGAGGAGGTCAAGCTATTTTCCAAAGCACCCGAAGGCAGGACAAGAAGCAATGGGTGGGAAGTAATCAAGGAGAGAAGCAATGTAGAACTAAGGATAAATTTCCTGACAGTGAGAACAATTAATCAGTGGAACAGCTTGTCTCCAGAAGTTGTGAATGCACCATGTGCTTCCAAGTGAAGTTTATTTCACTTTTTCCTTTTTGACTTTTTCATCTAGGAAAATAGCAGGGATGAAAGAGCCTTTTCTCTCCATACATTTGTTAGGGGAAGGAGGGAATCAAGGGGCCTCTTGGAAGATAGAGTGGGCTCTTACCACCAAGTTACTCTCTCAAAGCAGGAGGTACAGCCAGGGTGAGAAGATGCAGAAAGACTTTTTGAGAGGAGCCTTGAGCCCTTCACTCTTCACCCAGCAAAGTTTCCCATAGACTGATCACAAGTAGGTAGAGATCCAGAAATTTGGCGATCTGCTTTTACTGTAGAGAATCTGGGCACATGGTCAAGGAATGCCCTTCCAAAGCACCGAAAAAAGGAGAAAGACAACCCAGCCACAGCTCCAGGGAAAGTTGCAGAACTAGGAAAATGACAACAGCCCCTCTTGTGAGAGCTTGCAGGAGGGGCTATCCAACCACTAAATGGAGCTCACATCCAATCCCAGGAAATTTTCTATATCTCATGGTCATCCCCAGATGGGCCTCTTAGATGTAAACCAGTGGTGGCATACCTTTTACTCACCGAGTGCCGAACAGGTATGTGCTTCACACGCTTTGCATGTGCATGTGCTATCTGCGTTAACATGGGCTACTCCCCCATGTGGTGTGCACAGAACCGCACCATCTGTGCATGCACACAGCTTTCACACATGCCCCCGTCTGCTGCATGTGCAACCACACTATCTGCGCATGGAAATGGCTTTCATGCAGCTTCGTCACCGGGCGCTGTGCGTGCAATCACAACATCTGCCCATGCACACAAGTTTCACGCAGCTCCCCCATGCCCTGCATGCACATTCTCACCAACTGCGCATGTCATGGTTTTCACCTGTGCAATGCACCTGCGCAAAAACCATGTATGCATGAAGGCATTGTGCGCCAATACTCTCGTGCTCATTTGCAAAAGCGCGCGCATGCACAGGAGCACCCCGAAGACCAGCTGAGTCCCCTGAATTGCAGACATGCACACTGGAGCCCCGAACACCAGCTGGGACATGTGCGCATGTGCCGCTGCAGGTGAATTGGGTGACAGCTCGTGTGCCGGGAAAGATGGCTCTGCATGCAACCTCTGGCACACGTGCCATCACAGATATAGACCTCTGTCATCTATCATGGTTTTCAAGTAATGCTTTTCTTAGTAAAATAGCGAAGGTTTCCTCCATCTCTGCCATTCTTGTTACTTAGGTTATTACTTAATCATGTTCTACCATGTTCTTTAGCTCTTTTTTTAAAATGGAGATTCAGTGCTGATACAATGTTTGACTAAAGACCAGTCTTCCTTAAATATTTGAGGATCAGGAACAGAAAAACATTGAAAAAGTACTGTAAATAAAGTTGGTTTTTAGGCATGACGTGACTGCCTGCCAGACATTATATAAGAGTACGTAGTACTCAAAGTAAGGTAAGAAAAGAATTGCAACTAGTACGTTCTTAGTACTGTGATTCAAACTTTGTCTTCTACGTAGAACTTTTAGATGGCAAGAAGAGTAGCAAATTTACTCTTTGCAATGGAAAGCTTCGTGGGTGAAAATTGAGCTCATGACACTAATTAACTAAATAATTAGATAAAATAATTGAATGTGTTTTTCATCATGTTGCCAAGAATCAGGATTTTGAAAGAATTGAATTAATTCAACATTGACTATCAATACAGGAACTATTTTCAATTTCTCTATTATATCAACAGGTGAGGCAATGGAGCCATCAGGGAAGGAACCATATCTACATAAAGGATGTTATTTTCTACCAGTGGTGTCCTCACCTGAAAAAATAGATTCACTGGAAAGTTTTGAAATCCGAGATGATGATACATTTATAATCACATATCCTAAATCAGGTAAATTCAAAGATGTCTTCCAAGGAAGAGTTGGTTTTGTATCCAGTGCTTTTATTCAGTTTTTCAGTACTTTGGTTGCTGCAACTGTATCAAGATATAAACAGATTTTAACACTTGGCATAGAAGATGAAATGCAGGTAAAATAAAGCTGTAAATCTGTAAATAATGGAGCACCACAACTTCTGAAAGCAAGGTATTCCTTTGGTTGATTGCTCTCACTGTCAGGAACTTTCTCCTTAGTTCTAGGTTGCTTCTCTCCTTGATTAGTTTCCATCCATTGTTTCTTGTCTTGCCTTTGGGTGCTTTGGAAAATGGTTTGACCCCCTCATCTTTGTAGAAGTCCCTCAAATATTGGAGCAGTGCTATCATGTCACCCCTAGTCCTCCTTTTCATTAGGCTAGACATACCCAATTCCTGTAGCTGTTCTTTGTATGTTTTAGCCTACAGCCCTCTAATCATGTGTGCCGTTCTTCTCTACACTCTTTCCAGAGTCTCAATTCAACTCTCAATCTTTTTTATATTGCGGTGACCAGAACTGGATGCAGTATTCCAAGTGTGGTTGTATTAAGGCTTTGTAAAGTGGTACTACAACTTCACTTGATCTTGATTCTATCCCTCTGTTAATGCAGCCTAGGATCGCATTGGTATTTTGCTGTTGCCACACATTGTTGACTCATATTTAAATTATTTTCCTCTAGGACTCCAAGATCCCTCTCATAGTTACTGGGATTAAGCCATGTTTCACCTAGTCTGTACTTATGTGGTTGGTTTTTCTTGCCTAAGTGAAATATCTTACTTTTACCTCTGTTTAATTTCGTTTTGTTAGATAAGGTCCAGTATTTAAATCTGTCAAGATCTTTTTGGATCTTTATTTTTTTTTCAAGCTTTATATTTTATTTTACATATACATATCAATGCATGAACAATGTGGTACCTGGGTGTCATGCATTCTAATACAAATAGAACTGGTAAAATTGATCATAGTTTTACATTCAACCAATTTATATATTTCTAATAATAATAATACACATTTATATTAAATTATAGTCTATCATTATTTAATTATTCCATATCCATATTGCTCTAACACCACTCACCATATTATTTAATCATACATATTACTACCGCCATTCAATTTCTAAGCTTCCCTCTTGTTATTGCTTTTATTTTATTATGTAAAAATGTATACACTAATATTCCCCCTTTCTCTTATTTCTATCTCTATTCTAACTTGTCACTCTTTTATTAAATGACGTTTTCTTCCTATCCTACCTAACTTCTAATCATGCCACCATTCTAAAAAAGAAGGGAGAGAAAGAAGAAAAGCAAATCAGAACAACAACAAAAAAGAGAAATTCTTTCCCTTCTATCCATCGTCTCTTGTCCGCTTCAATACTTTGGTTGCTATGCTTTTTTTGACTTGCCTCCCATATTCCTCTCTTGGATCTTGATCACTGTTTGCATCTATTTCTTGGATATTCAGTCTAAGTATTTCTCCAATCTCTATTCTCTTCCACTGCCTAGCTTCTAAAATATCTGCCCAGGCCCCTATCTCCCTTTCTCCAATTCACTTTTCAACTCTCTTAAAATATTTCCCCCTTGATTTAATTCACCAAACACTGTTATTTTTATTATTATCTCTGCCTTGTCTTCCAGTTTTGTCACTGGTTCTCCCTTTTCTGGGCGTCTTCATCTTTACTCATCATCCCTTGTATACAGTGGTGGGTTTCAAAATTTTTTACTACTGGTTCTATGGGTTTGGTGGGCAATGGCACGGTTTGGTGGGTGTGGCTTGGTGGGTGTGGCAGGGGAAGGATACTGTAAAATCTCCATTCCCTCTCCAATCCAGGGAAAGGTTACTACAAAGTCCCCATTTTCTCCAGATCAGCTGGGACTCAAGAGGCAGAGAATAGATGAGGGTTGGGCCAGTCAGAATTTTTACTACCAGTTCTCCGAACTACTCAAAATTTCCGCTACTGGTAATCCAAAAATGGTCAGAACCTGCTGAAACCCACCTCTTCTTGTATAGTATTTTCCATTGTTTCCATAATCTCCTTAAATCCGTTCTCTATGATGTCCTTTGTGCTTTGGAAAATCATCTATATCATTTATGAAGATATTAAAGAGTACTTCCCTCCATGTGGTTGTAGTTCTGTTGAAGACTACATGTTGAGTACAGTTTGTCAGTCAGTTATAAACCCACCTAGTTGTAGGGCTATCTATCCCACATTTTATTAGCTTGCCAAGAAGTAGGTTGTGATTGAGTTTCTAAAATGCTTTATTAAAATCTAAGTACACTATGTTCACAGCATTTAACTCATTTACTAATTTGGTCACTTTGTTGAAGAATGAAATAAGATTTATTTGGCATGATCTGTTTTCAAGGAAGCCATGTTGGCTTCTGGTTATAACCCTGTTTGCTTCTAGGTTGTTCACAGATTTGTTTTTTGATTATCTTTTCCAAGATCTTCCCAAGTATTGATGTCAGGCTGATTGGTCTCAAATTTCCTGAATAAGTTTTTCTTTTTTCCCTGTTTGGAAGATAGGGGCCACACCAGCTCTTTTCCAGTCCTCAGGTATTTTGCTGGTGATCCAAGAACTTTGAAAGATATGTTTCAATGGTTCTGAAATTATGTCTGCCAGTTCCTTCAGTAGTGTTTTCCTTTTTTTGTATGAAGATAGATGTGAAATATGAATTAAGCAGTTCTGCTTTCTCTCTACTCCCCATTTCTTCTTTGCCATCTTCTCCGATAAGTAGACTGATTGCTTGATTTTTTCTTGTTTTTTTATGTGTTGAACATTCTCCAAATAATGATGGCCCTGGATGAATTAATTTAATTATTTCTCATTTACAGGCACAGTGTGGACTCAGAACATTGTGAGCTTGATTCTTTATGAAGGTCATCGAGATGGAACTGAAAATATTACCCTGATTGACAGGGCACCATGGCTAGAGTATAATGTTTACTATGTAGATTTACCTAGTCGCCCATCACCTCGTGTCATTTGTTCCCATCTGCCCCACTATTTGGCACCCAAAGGATTACAAAATAAAAGAGCAAAGGTAGGACATATTTTGGTAACTTGTGGGGTGGAATGGGGAGCTGTCTGTCTTCTTCTTCCTTTTTATTTACCTCTGCATCTGAATGTTCTATTGAGAAATAAATGCAAATGAAGAGATGTTACATTGTTCCATTATGTTTGGTGATTTGCAGGCTGAGTAAAAATAACTCAAATAAAATATGGAACCCAGAATCTCATGCTTGGCCGAAATGGAACCGAACTGAAGATCCATACAGAGATATTTAATCTTTCATGTTACTTTTTCCAAAATGACACTTCCAGATGGATTGGAACTTTTTGTGCGGCATAGTCAGTTTCTATCTTAACATATTTGGAGGATGCCAAGTTGAGGAATCCTATCTTTAGCCATAAAATCCTTTTTACAATTGCTACTCTCAGTCTCTCATGCCCTCCTGGATGGAGGACTGTAATAGCTTTGATTCTAATTTTATATCCCGCTCTTTTTTATCCTTTGTAAATTTGGATTGTATTTGTAGGTATATCCACCATTCTAATTTTATTTCTTCTTCCTTTAACTTCTTCCTTGATTTTAATTCCCCTTTCCCGTTTAATAATTCTTTATATGTAATAGTCCCTCCTGTTTTGAGAAGATTAGGATGTTTGAGCATTTCTACTGTTCATATCCAACTGGGGATGTCTATATAGTTACTTCTATATAGACATATTCTATATTCTATTACTTCTTAATCCAAATACCTAAAAGTGCCCTCCTAATATAATGCCTTTGGAAGTACTGGTGAACCTTATACTTCACTTCCCAGATGATAGCATGCCACCCTATTTGAAGTTCATGTCCTTCTAGTGTCAACAGTCTTCTATTTTTGAGGTGTAGCCAATCACTTACCTAAACCAGGGCTGCAGCTTGCCGATATTTTTCCCAATTTGGAAGACCAAATCCTCCTCTTTCTTTTGCATCTTGTTATAATTTTAATTTAATCCTTAGCTTTTTGCCCTGCCATATAAATTTTGCTATGATTCTATTCAAATTTGTAAAGAAATCTTTTTTGAGCCGAATTGGTATACATTGAAATAAATATAAAATTTTGGGTAGCATGTTCATTTTAATCGTAGCAACCCTCCCCATAAAGGAGAGTTGCAATCTTCCCATTTTTCTAAATCAATTTTAATTTGCTCAATTAGTCTATCGTAATTTTTCTCTTTAAGCAGCACGCATCTTGATGTCAATTGAATCCCTAGATATCTAACTTTTTTAACTATCTGAATATCAATTTTTCCCTCTCTATCTCTTTTTTGCTCCTTCGTCATGTTTTTTACTAACATTTTTGTTTTGTCCTTATTTATCTTTAAGCCGGCTACCTCCCCATATTCCTCCAGTACTTCCATTAGCCGTACGCCCAATTGCAGATGCTCTTCAATAATAAAGACGAGATGTCTGCGAATGCTTGCAATTTAAAAATTTCATTTCTGATCTTCAAACCTTTAATTTAGATATCTTCTTGAATTACTCTATTCAATGCTTCTAATGATAAAATAAACAGTAGGGGTGATAGTGGACAGTCCTGTCTCGTACCTTTCTGGATTTGGAAGTCCTTTGTTGTTTCCCCATTAATTGCCACTTTTGCTTCTTGTTCTAAGTAAATTGCTCTGCACATCCTTATAAATTTTTCCCCAAATTCCATATACTTTATTTGATTTAAAATGAATTCCCATTTAACATTATCAAATGCTTTCTGTGCATCAGGAGTCTGTAATAGCTTTAATGCAGAGCTGTTTTTTACAACAGCCCTTAAAGTATTCAGAAACTTCAGTGGGTGCAAATGTAAGTTCTCCAAGAACTGTATACATTGCACTTCTGCTTTGGAAACTACATTGGCTATCTCTTTGATTCTTCTTGTGGTTCAAATTTCCTAGTTATGACCTTTAAAGCCCTTCAGGAATTGGGAACAGGTCATTTGAAGGACCTCTGTCCTCAGTTACCTCTACCCATTCCATCAAGTCCAGTAGGAAAGGCATGTTGGGAACCTGTCAGCTGGGGAGTTTTAGGGATGACCTAGGCAGACCCTTTTTTGCCCTTCCCCTATTCCCCTAAAGTGAGGCTGGTTCCAACCTTCCTGGCCTTCTGGAAGATCCTCCAAATGGTTTTGCTTCGAGGTTCTATGATAAAGTGTAGCTTCTAAGGTGATTGTATGAGAGTTAATTGATGTACTCTCTGTATGCTTTGCTGCCATTCTGGGTTTCTTTGTTTTTTGTCTTCTTTTTAAAATTTTAATTTAAATTGAAGTTCTTAATGGTTTTTATTGGGGTGAAATTCAGCAAATTCTGACAGGTTCTGGAAAACTGGTAGCGGAAATTTTGAGTAGTTCAGAGAACCGGCAAAACCCACCTCTGGCTGGCCCCAGAGTGGGGTGGGAATGGAGATTTTGCAATAACCTTCCCCGAGGGGTGGGGAGGGAACGGGGATTTTGCAGTATCCTTCCCATGCCTTGCCCACCAAGCCATGCCCACCAAGCCACGCCCACCAAGCCACGCCCACAGAACCAGTGGTGAAAAAAATTGAATTTCACCACAGGGTTTTTATGTATTTTATTTAATTAATAAATAATTAAAATTATAGATAGATAGATAGTTAGATAGATAGATAGATAGATAGATAGATAGATAGATAGATAGATAGATAGATAGATATGAGAGAGAGGGGAGATGGGGAGGGGGAGAGGGGGAGAGGGGGAGGGAGGGAGGGAGGGAGAGAGAAGATTGTAGATATATTTTTATCCATGGGAAGTTAATGTATTGTGAAATAAAGTACAAATGGAGTTCTGCCCTCCAGAAAGTCCGCTAAGGTCCACCAAGCCTCAAGGTTTTTCAACCAATCCCACTTTTTTCCTGCTGTATTCACTCTAACTGGAGTCTCTGAGGATCATTTTTGACTAGATACTTTCTTCTTCTACAGATTATTTATGTGTTTAGAAATCCAAAGGATGTCTTGATTTCTAGCTATCATTTTCACAAAATTCTAACCATGATGGAAACAACAGAAGACTTTGATGTTCACTTGGAGATGTTTTTGGCTGGCAAAAGTAAGAACCTAATCACAATCAAGTTAGTTTTTCTTTTGGACAAGAGATATGAATTCAATCCACTTCCTGCAAGCAGCAAACAATCCACCTCCCCTCCTTAAAATAAGATAAGAATAGTTATTTTCAATCCTCATTCAATAATTTCCATAAACTATATGCAAACCGTTTATAATGGGATGGATGAGTGGAGAAGAATGCAGGATTCCTTAAATAACTCATGATGCAAAAGTGGATTGGAATGGCAAGAGAAGGTAGCTTATTAAGGAAGAGAGAGAAGAAATATGAGGAGCCATTTAATATAGGGAATAATTGAGGGAAATAAATAATTGGATTTAAAATCAGGGGTTAGTATTATTATTATTGCCATTGTTATTGTTATTATTATCATTGTTATATTAGTCAGGAGACTGCAATGCAGTCTCTGCAATGCAATGAAAAAGTAGAGTTATCCTTATTTTTTTAAAAAAAATATAAGAAAACTAAAAAAATAAACACATGAAATCACATGGGGGACATTTAAGGGTTGGACACAGAAGAGAGCTAATGGGAGTAGGTCTGATATTTGTAAATGTATAAAAAATTAATAAAGGCTGCCCAAAAATCCAAATAAAGAAAAGCAAAAGAAACAAAACAATAGAGCAGCATCTTGATAAAACTTTCCCCTTAACAAGTGAGAGTATGTAATCACATTAGTTACGGCTCCCATTCCTTCTCTCTCCTCTCCGCATTCAGCATTATTAAGGTGGCCCCTCAATTGAGCTTTAATCCGTAGGGCCATCCGGTCATAAGAATAAATGGAAGAAATTCAAGCATTCATAATGTATCCCTGAGATGGATTGTTAGCAGGAACATTGCAGTGCCCAGATAAACAATTAAACCAAGTGACTTTGAAGATTGCACTCATATTTATGCTAAATTCATTTCTCTCCTATCAGTGCCCAGTAGTTTATGGCTAGACCATGTAGAAGGCTGGTACACTCATAAGGGTGATTTCAATATTCTCTTCCTTTCTTATGAAGAAATGAAAAAGGTAAGATGTGTAAATGTGTAATGCAATATGAACAACCATCAAGCATAGGAAGCTTTAGAAAGGGAGGAATGTGTAGAATACCTTATTCCAACAAGGAGTAGTAGAGGTGACCACTGAACCACCCTTGGTTATTTTGGTGAACTCCTGGAGGACTGGTGAGGTCTCTAAAGAAGCATAAGAGCCCCCTCTTCAACAGGAAGGAGCAGGATCCATGAAACTAGAATGTGGTCATCTTGGTATCAAAAAGATTAATAAAAGGCATTTTTCTGAGCACTTGGTGACATGGGCAGGATATGAATTTAATCAATAAAATAAAGTAAAATAAAATAAATAATGTTCTCCTCTTTTGGCTCAAAGAAGGTTGACTCAACTCAAGTGCATTTTCAAGAGAGACCAAAGCATTTATTTAGCTTGGTTGGAGAACTGAACAGCTTCTGTTGCAGCCAAGCTTGCTAAGGATGTAAGAGTCTGAATCATCAAAATATTAATATCCAAAAAAGTTTTTCAACAACTTGTTTCTTGGAAACCCTTAGCAGCTAATGATGGATTTCTGTGTTTAATGAATACGTTTGATTTAAAAATAAATAAAAATACAAATGATTTATCAGCAACATTTTCCTTCTTTTCTCCCTTGTTATGGATGAACTAATATAAAGCTGTATCAAATTGCAGGATCTGAGAAGTTCTGTACTGAAAATATGCCACTTCCTAGGAAGAGAACTAACTGAAAAGGAGGTGGATGATGTGGTGGATAAAGCTACATTTGATAGCATGAAAGCGGATTCTAAAACTAACTATGCATCTGTGAATCCTACCTTAGCAGATTCTAGCAAAGGGGTCTTTCTTCGTAAAGGTAAATCCATAGAAATGTATATTCTAGGGGTATGCTTATGAATATGCCAGGATTGCCACCTTCAACTAAAAGTCACTTTGCGAGAACCGCTGCCGTCAAGGGCGAGGGGGTGGTGTGGCAAGGATGGGCCATCCGCGGCTTCCTTCTCTCCCCGCCCGAGCAGACTTCTGGCATAGCCCCAGGCCTCTGGAGTGAGTGAGTGAGGGAAGCCCTAGCCTGCTGCTCCTGCAGCCGCCACCCCCTTGCCCCCAGCAAGAGTGGTTCTCGTGCTGCCGCTTCTCCCAAAGCCCCAGGAGCAACTGCCGGGGCAGAGAGGGCAAGGGAAGGCTGTGGTAGCAGGTAACAGACAGGCTGCTCCTGGAGAAGGAGAAGCTGCCAGTGGGGAGGCGAGCTGCCCCAGGAGGACTGGAGGAGAGCGCAGCTCCTCACTCATAGAGATCCACCAGCGGGGAACTGGTCGCGGAAAGCAGTAAGAAATGCACAAGCCAGGAAGCGGTCATGCTCCCTGGCAGGAGAGGGTTGCACGTTCACTCCAGCAAAGGTTTGTGCAACCGTCTCTGGCCAGGGAGCATAACCGCTTCCTGGCCAGCACACCTTTTACCACGCCCGTTTCCCCACCGGTAGATCTCCATGAGTGAGAAGCTGTGTTCTTCTGCAGTCCTCCTGGGGCGGCTCGCCTCCCCGCTGGAAGTTTCTCCTTCTCCTGGCTGCTCCAGAAGCAGCCTGTCTGTTTACATACACACAAACATACATGCATTCCTACATGGACACCCATTCATTTTGGTGATAGGATGACACAAATAGCCTCTAGTTTAATTGAACAGAAATACTGTTGACATTTTTTTAACCTCTGCTTTCCAGGCATTGTTGGGGACTGGAAGAACCACATGACTGTTGCCCAGAGTGAAAGATTTGACCGTGTCTTTAAGGAGAGGATGGAAAAGCTGCCCTTCAGGTTCTGCTGGGATATGCAGGAGGATCCTGAGCCTATTTCCAGCTCAGGGGAGGAAAATAATGTGTGAAACGTGCCTTCAAATGGTTTGAATCAGACCCCAAGAAGGGTCTTTATGTAACCTTGAAATGTTTAATTCTCAACTTTGCAGAGATCATAGAACAAAGCAACCTTAAATTCTAAGCTATTATTAAATATAATAGAAACTGCAGAAAACAGTTAACAGTACATCTCTCTGAAATTCTTACTATCTTTTGTATTTTGATTCCACAAAGGAGGCCAGATGCACTAAAGTTTTGACATTGTCCAGCTAGTTCCTATATACACTTTTTTAAATATACAATTTGCCAAGTCCCAGCATGAGATTTCCTCATATGGCTAAGGCCCTTTCTCTATTGCCTTTAGTTAGTAGTGGAACTATATTGGTATAAAATTTGCTGTCCTTATTGCTGATGCCTGTCTGTATCTATTACTTCCCATTTGGCTTGATTCTGAGTATTTCGATCTTAATGTATTTGTTAATGTAATTAATTAATGTAATCTTAATGTAATTGGTTAGTCTCAACAGCAATATCAAATAAAAAATAAAATAAAGGTAAAAGTGTGTGATTTAATTACAAAATAAGATGTATAAAAGAAAATACAATAATGAAATACATAAGTGGTAAATAAAAAGAATCGATTCCGATAATTACATTACCTGTTGCCTGGTTCTGTTTGATATAACATGTTCTTAGCTGAACGTCCTGCTCTATAAACTTAGCCCTTCTCTTTACGCTGTGTATCTTAAAGCCCAGGAGGAAGTAGGGAAGCCTGACATTCGGGACTCCAGGTGCAGTTCTTTCAAACAGAGATCTTAATGTCAAAGCCTAAGAGCTGCACAGAATTAATAATCAAACAGAACACAAGCAATACCTTTGATGGCTGGGGCATCACCTATTCAGAGCTTCTCATGATATGGCAGTTGACATAATTACGCTTAATTATTGATTGGCTCTGTACGAAGTAGATACCTGGTTCTGTTTGCCCATGGGGGTTGACATTTTCTTGTCAATTCCCAATATGCTTCTTAAAAAGGGGGGCTGAAATTGTTCAGATGAGGTAGCTTTTGTAGGACCCCATAATTCCATACATAGGTCAGTCTAGCCCCGTGATGGCGAACCTTTGACACAGGTGCCACAGGTGGCATGCAGAGCCCTCTCTGCGGGCAAACGAGTCCTCGCCCCAGCTCTGCTCCACTCTGCATATGCGCGCACCTCCCACTGGCCAGCTAGTTTTCGGGTCTGTGCCACATATGCGTGTGGGCGGGATGCATGCGCATGTGCTGGGGGGTGTGGCTTACATACACAAACACATACACATACACAGGGCAGAGAGCAGGGAGGATGGAAGGCGCCAACCGTGGCCCATTTTTGGTCCCAGGAGGCTGCAGGAAGAGCTACTAGGCTCAAAACGGGGTACGGGAGGTTGCACAGGTGCATGGGAGGGTGGGGGAGTATGGGATGTTGCACGCGCATGAAAGGGCTGTGGCCCATGTGGGGGGCGTTGTGCATGCATTGCATCAGCACGTGATGATCCAAAGATTAGCCATCACTTCTAAGACATAATCTAGGCAGAGGTTTCTGTACACAGTACCAGCTACTTGGTTGTGCTGTTCAGTATTTGCTGTTCCTGCCTGTATCTAATACCCTGCTACTAGGCATTGGAATATATCCTACCCTACCTCATAGAGATAGTATGAGATCGTATGAGATAGTATGAGATGAGATAGTAATCCAATTTATCTTGAGAGCAACATGATTTTAAAGTACAGCTACGTCATGGTTAATATAAGTTCATGTAACCCAATACAGGTAGTCTTCGATTTACAACAGTTCGCTTAGTGACCACTCAAAGTTACAATGGCACTGAAAAAAAGTGACTTATGACCATGTCACTAATTTAACAACAGCGGCGATTCACTTAACAAATTCCTCACTTAGCAACATAAATTTTGGGCCCAATTGTGATCGTAAGTTGAGGACTACCTGTATTTGATTTGGTGTGAATGGTACAATGGTACCAGTTTGCATTTAATCCAACCCAAAACTCAGATAATTGAAGGCTAGAATTGAATTGAAGGCATGTGCAGTTGATATTACTGTCTTGCTATGGGGTTTTAGAGGCTGCTGCTTCATTCTTCAGTTGCTTATCTTCCTGTGTGCACAATGGACAAAAGATTCCTTCAAATAAAAACACTACAAGAACACACACACACACACACACACACACACACACACACACAAAGGACCATTATTAGAGGACTATTATTACAGCAAAAATTTGATGTGATTGAGCAGCACAAATAACAGCTCTAAATTAGGGTGAGATATCAGAATGCCTAATACCTCTATACTACAATTTTTTTGTTTTTTATTTTGCATTCTAAAGTTACTCTGTGACTTTGTTAACAATAACACTGAATTATAAGTGCAGTACATTCCGCTTCTCCTTTACTCTAATATTTTGTTAATAAACGTGTAAAAGCTTATGTTTCAAACGTTTTCTTGTTTATTTCCACATAGGCAGAACGTGCTGCCATATTTTACATATACTCATAATTTCAAAGAGTGCAAATTCAAGTAATGCAACCACTCCATTGGATTCATTATCCACACTAATTGAAGTCTAGCTGCATTGCTATTGTAACAACATCTGGAGACTTGGTCTAGTCACCTTCCTTCGATAAACAGGAGAACAATATCAATCAAATTAATGATAATAGTTAATAATAAAGTCAAGGAACTTGTGTGGTTAGGACACTAGGTTGGAGGTTAGCAAGCTAAGACATATAAAGAGCGGTTGCTGGAGTTGGATATGTCTAGTTTGATGAAAAGAAGAACTAAGGGAGACATGATAGCAGTGTTCCAATATCTTCTACAAAAAAGAGGAGGTCAAGCTATTCTCTTTCTTTTTTTCTTTTTTAGGTCTTAAACCTGAATTTTTTAAATCAAATTTTTATTGAAAATTATTAAAAATTACAGAAAAAAAATATAGCAATATGGATAGAATTGCAGAGAGTAACATAATACATATAGACAGTGGTGGGATTCAATTTTTTTAACAACCGGTTCTGTGGGTGTGGCTTAGTTGGGGGTGTGGCTTGGTGGTCATGTGACTGGGTGGGTGTGGCTAGTTGGTCATGTGACTGGGTAGGTGTGGCTAGCTGATCATGTGACCGGGTGGGCGTGCCTATGTGCATAGGGACTACTCAGAGGGCTGAAAAAAGTCATTTCTGACTGATCCTCGCACTTTTGACCGGTCCTCGCACTTATGACCATCCTCACATTTATACTCATTGTGGCATTCTTAACAACCATGTCAATCATTTCACCACTACTTCTCTTCACCACGGTGACAAGATAGGGCACAAAATGTAAAATGTGAGGACAGTCGTAACTTCAAGGACTGGTCAAAAGTGCGAGGACCTGTCAGAAATCACTTTTTTCAGCCCTCTGAGTAGTCCCTATGTGCATATGGACTGCTCAGAGGGCTGAAAAAGTTATTTTTGACCGGTCCTCACACTTTTGACCAGTCATCATTTATCTTCTAGTCCAGAGATCTCCAACCTTGGCAACTTTAAGCCTCGCAGACTTCAACTCCCAGAATTCCCCAGCCAGCTATGCTGGCTAGAGAATTCTGGGAGTTGAAGTCCACAAGTCTTAAAGCTGCCAAGTTTGAAGACCTCTGAGCTAGGGCTTTGGGGCCAGCCTTTTGGGGAGGGGGTCCCATTCAGAGAGACCACCTGCCTCTCAGGAAGCATCAGGCCCAGGCAGAGAAAATTGCCAAGGTTGGAGATCTCTGGACTAGAAGACCTCCAAAGGTCCCTTCCAACTCTGTAATTCTGGTATTGGCAAGCAAGCACAATTAAGCTATTTAAATCCTCCAGAGCAGGGGTCCCCAACGTTTTGGACCTCAGGGACCACCAAGTTCATAATTTTAAATTTCGCGGACCACTAATACGAATCCAGTGCGTCGCTTGCTGAAGCACCTGGACTCCCAGTGACGGGATAGGGTCCTTCAGGCACTCTCCCCCCTCTTTCTCTCTCTCTCCCCCCTCTCATTCTCTCTTTCTCTCCCCCCTCTTTCTCTCTCCCCCCTTTCTCTCTCTCCCCCTTTCTCTCTCTCCCCCTTTCTCTCCCACTCTTTCCCTCTAATTCTCTTTCTCTCTCCCCCTCTTTCTCTCTCTCTCCCCCTCTCTCTCCCACTCTTTCCCTCTCATTCTTTCTCTCCCCCCTTTCTCTCCCTCTCTCCCCCCCACTCTCTCTCTCATTCTCTTTCTCTCCCCCCTTCTCTGTCTCCCCCACTCTTTCTCTCTCCCCCTTTCTCTTTCTCTCCCCCTTGCTCTCATTCTCTTTCTCTCTCCCCCCCCTTTCTCTTTCTCTCTCTCTCCCCCACTCTCTCTCTCTCATTCTCTCGCAGAGGGCCGATCTGGTGTCGGGAGAGCAAAAAAAACACCTCGGTATATTTGCGGCACAAGGCAGCCCTCATTTCCTGCCAACTCGGAGCGGTAAACAGCGTCTGGTTCGGGGAGCAGCCGGATTTTGCGCTCCATTACTCTCTTGGCCCCCTGCAAGCTCTCATCTCTCGAGAAGCCCAATCAAAGTTTCCCGTGCCACTTCAGGGAGCACTCCTCGAGAGACAAGAGCTTGCAGGGGGCCAAGAGCAATGGAGAGCAAAATCCGGCTGCTCCCCGAACCAGATGCTGTTTACCGCTCCGAGACCCAAGCGACAGGAGATGAGGGCTGCCTTGTCCCGCAAATATGCCGGATTTTGCTCTCCATTGCAGACACCAGATCGTAATGCACCACCTGCAAAAATGCAAAAATTTCCAAATGTAGCCCTGCCCTCTTACAGCTCTCCTGATGTTCAACTGTTGTCTTTCAAGGAGGATACTTGGCCAGCTTCATGCTTGATGTCTCCCACCTTGGCAGCTTTAAGACTTGTGGACTTCAACTCCCAGAATTCTCCACAATTCCCCAGAATGGGCTAGGCGGGAGTTGAAATCCAAACGTTGTAAAAGAGCCACAGTTGCCCAGCCCTGGGCTAGGGTAGGCTGACGCCGCACGGATGGGAGGCAGGGCAGGGCGAGGGGTGGGCAAGCCAGCAATTTAATAAACGGTTCGGTGTGCTGCGGGGCCAATAAATTACAAAAAAACACTGAACCGTTTGTTAAATTGCTGGCTCGCCCGCCCCATTTATTGGCAATAAATAGTAGTGCAGAGGGACGGGGCAAGGGGCAGGGTGAGCCAGCAATTTAACAAAGGGTTTGGCCGAACCCCCTAGAACCGGCAGAATCCCACCACTGCATATAGAGTTTTAAAGCATCAATTTTCGCCTAGAAATAGTACAAACCTCCATTAAACCAAATCATCAAAAAAAGAAAAGATTATCCAGAAGAAAGAATTCTCAACTGCCATGCAATATTCCCATAAATATTTACCCACAGTCACACTAAGATTATTATTTTACATTCTTCTTCAGATTTCTTTTTTGCAGCCAAGCATACCACCGGTCCCAACTCATATATAGCCCCGATTCTTGTCTATCTTGCAAAAGTCCGGTAAGCTTGCCTGCCTC